TTTACAATATTCCCATTTTCTTCCTTTTTACAATATTCCCCTTTTCTTCCTTTTTTACAAAATTCCCATTTTCTTTTTTTAACAATATTCCCATTTTCTTCCCTTTCACAATATTCCCATGTTCTTCCTTTTTACAAAATTCCCATTTTCTTCCCATTTTACAAAATTCCCATTTTCTTCCTTTTTACAAAATTCCCATTTTCTTCCTTTTTACAAAATTCCCATTTTCTTCCCTTTTTACAATATTCCCATTTTCTTCCCTTTTTACAATATTCCCATTTTCTTCCCTTTTACAGAATACCCATTTTCTTCCTATTTTTTACAATATTTCCATTTTCTTCCTTTTTACAATATCCCAATGTTTGATTTCAGTTTTTTTTTCTCTGTCATTTGCAGAAGTGACTGGAAATGCAGAAGGAGTGGTCTCTGTCCGGATGACATGCCAGCGGTCAACGAGATGCGCCTAAATTCCAGCCTTGTCATCCTAAACAGGTAATATGTTTTGTGCTGTAGTCATGTTAAATATGGTAATGTATTTTTGTATCATTGTCATACTAGAAAAGATTATATATATTTTGGAAGATTATTTTTTTTATATCGTCGTCATTATTGTAATCCTTTTGTATGACTTTTGTTTATATTTTCGTTTATTTTCAATTTTGTGGCCACTGGAAAGTGTAAAATCCACGTTATAATAGAATAGAAACAGTGAACTTTAAAACATCCCAAATTATGAATTAAAAATACTCTACAGTGTTAGAAGAAAAAATACGTCACATCACGAAAAAAAAGATCCACAGTGTTAGAGAAAAGTACCCTGCCTTGTGATATAATTTACCTACATGAAAATACTCCATAGTGTTAGATTAAAACATGCTCCCTATTCCAAAATAAGAAATAAATACTTTTTTCTGTTAATCGTAAAAAAAATGTTCGGGGTGTTTTATCTCAGAGAGAATAGTTAATCTGAATTCACTGTTCATCTTATCAGCTGCTATATCTCGTGTTATCTCTCTGACTCTCCCTTTCTCGTGATCTATTGTGCTGGTTGTTTATTAAATCTGATATTATAAAGGAAAATTGCTTAGGATTTATTTATTTTTTTTATTTGAATAATTGTGATAATATGTGTTAATTATACTTTTCGCATTCTCGTTTTTATTATTGTTATTGTTATCATTATTGTCTTTATTATTGTTACTGTTATTATTGTTTTTTATTGTTATTTTCATTATCATTATAACATGTCTGTATTATTATTATAATTATAATTATCTTTTTGAATGTTATTGTCTTTGTTGTTATTATTGCATTCCAATTCCCATCCATTTATTTTTTCCGCCTGAATAACCACTTTTATTCCTCCTCCCCATCATCACCAACACTACCCTTACCCTTACCCCTTCCCTTACCCCTTCCTTTACCCCTACCCTTACCCTTACCCTTACCCCTACCCTTACCCTTACCTCTACCCTTACCCTTACCCTTCCCCCTACCCTTCCCCTTACCCTTACCCCTACCCTTACCCTTACCTTTACCCTTACCCTTACCCTTGCCCTTACCCTTACCCTTACCCCTACCCTTACCCTTACCCCTACCCCTACCCTTACCCATACCCTTACCCTTACCCCTACCCCTACCCTTACCCCTACTCCTACCCCTACCCTTACCCATACCCTTACCCTTACCCCTACCCTTACCCCTACCCTTACCCCTACCCTTCCCCTACCCTTACCCTTACCCCTACCCTTACCCTTACCCTTACCCCTACCCTTACCCCTTACCCTTACCCTACCCTTACCCCTACCTTACCCTTACCCCTACCCTTACCCTTACCCCTTACCCTTACCCTTACCCCTACCCATATACTCCCTTACCCCTACCTTACCCCTACCCTTACCCTTACCTTACCCCTACCCTTACCCTTACCCCTACCCTTACCCTACCCCCTACCCTACCCCTACCCTACCCTTACCCCTACCCTTACCCTTACCCTACCCTTCCCCTACCTTACCCCCTTACCCTACCCTTACCCTTACCCCTACCCTTACCCTACCCTTCCCCTTACCCCTTACCCTTACCCCTACCCTTACCCCTTACCCCTACCCTTACCCCTTCCCCTTACCCTTACCCCCTTACCCTTACCCCTACCCTATACCCCTACCCTACCCTACCCTTACCCTACCCTTACCCCTTACCCTTACCCCTTACCCTTACCCCTACCCTTACCCCTACCCCTACCCTTACCCTACCCTTACCCTACCCTTACCCCTTAACCCTACCCTACCCTACCCCTTACCCTTACCCCTACCCTTACCCTACCCTACCCCTACCCCTACCCTTACCCTACCCTTACCCTTACCCCTACCCCTTACCCTTACCCCTACCCTTACCCTTACCCCTACCCTTACCCTTACCCCTACCCTTACCCCTACCCTTACCCCTTACCCTTACCCCTACCCTTACCCCTTACCCTTACCCTTACCCCTACCCTTACCCC